GCTCCAAGTGCCCGCTCAGCGGGACACCACGAAAGCGTTTCATGAGATGTCCCGTGCCGGTGAATGAATTTCTTTCTTGCTGCATGCAACCTCGAGCTACACCAGTTAGAGGGCCCAAGAGGAGAATCGTGCTTTTTGGGTTGGGTTGGGTTGTGGGCCTGGGTTGGGTTGTTCCGCGTAAGGTTGGGTCGTCGGCGAGAAGGGTGAGGTCTCGACCGCCGCCGCTCACGCCAGCGGACGGCCACCATCGGTGTTTTTGGCTTCGCCACCGTCCAAAGCGTGCGCAATGCGCTCGCCGGCATCGAGCGAGCACGCCTGTCCGACGAGCGGCTTGCTGTGTGGACGCCTTCTTGTGGCTAGCGTTTTGCGTCCCGGTGGGTGGGAGAATATGTGATAGGAACGAGTGTATCGCTTTGACGGATCGACCGTACTTGTTATCAAGACTGATATGACGCACACAGTGACACATCAGACCACCCACCCGCCGGGCCGCAAAACGCTCTCGACGAGAGCCACAAGAAGGCGTCCACACAGCAAGCCGCTCGTCGGACAGGCGTGCTCGCTCGATGCCGGCGAGCGCTTTGCGCACGCTTTGAACGGTGGCGAAGCCAAAAACACCGATGGTGGCCGTCCGCTGGCGTGACCGTGAGCGGCGGCGGTCGAGACCTCACCCTTCGCGCCGACGACCCAACCTCACGCGGAACAACCCAACCCCCAACCAACCCAACCCAACACCAAACAACCCCACTGAAAGCACGATTCTCCTGTTGGGCCCTCAGTCACCACCCTACAGCCTCACCGCTTTTTCGAACCAAAAAGTGATCGACCACCCTCGCCTGCAGCTCGGCAGTCATAGCGGAGGAGACCCCGCGCCCGTTGCTGATATAATATGTGCGCCGATTGACATCTCTTCTCTCTCACTCACAGTGATTGCCTGTTTGCCTGCCCGGTCGAGCGCTTGACCGCTTGTTGCTGAGAAAAGGGAGGAAGCCTATCAGCCTCGACGCCCACAGCTTCGAGCTCCACGCAGCGACCAGCGCCGGTGTGAGTCCAGAGAACTGCCCACGCGAGGGGTCCAACCAAGGGTCGTGTTTCATCCTGGAAGGCAATTCACCAATTCTACCCGCTCTCGCCACCGTATCGCGTCGAGCTCTGCCTCGGGGTTGGGCCACGTGCGTCCCCGCCACGAACCGCCTACTTTAGTTAGGATTCTTTCATGGTCCGAGGAGGCGCGACAGCCTATTTCGACTTGCTCATTTGGCCACTCGATTCGTTGCGTGGGTGTGTGTTTGAGCAAGGGTAAACTGCGGGCCCACATCCAAAGACGAGAGAGGCAGGTGACGATCAGCTCTGCTGGCCCCCGGCCCCCGGCGCGGCGCCCCGCCCCGCAGCGCGCCCCGCCGCGGGACCTAGCCGCCCCGCCCGCCCCGCGCGGGCTCGCCCGCCCCCGCCCCCGACCCCCGCGCGCCCCCTCCTCCCCCCTTCCGCCACGGCGCCGCCGCCACAGCGTCAACGCACTCGCCCCCGCCCGCCGCGGCCGGCTGGTGCAAGAGTGACACGCGCCCCCGCGGCCGCGCTCGCCCCCGTCGTCGCGGCGAGCGGCGGGGAGCCCCCCTTCCGCGCGAGGTCAACCGCGCGCGCCTCCCAACAACAGGTGTGTGCGCGAGACACGCGCGACAGCTCTTCGGGATGAACGGGCAGGACTACGGCTCGGGGCTGCTCGACCAGGCGGGGTCCCAGTACCTCGATCAGATGGGCCAGCCCGGCGGAGTCATGCCCTCAATGGGCGGCCGCGGCCCGGGGATGCCGGGGCAACAACAGATGT